AGAGATGCACACCCCTACTGCAAATCTGTTCCGCTCCTAGCCGGTGATTAATAACTGCAGCTGTAGCCTGAGCCCAATCCGTCCAGAGTAGTTGAGATATTTCAGTGTGGACCAAAGGAGACAAGATTAGTCTCGATAAAAGAATTGTGTAGTGATATTAAGACTCACTCTCATCCTCCAGGCGCCCCCCTCCCCCACTCCTCACCTCCTGGGTCACGGTGGCCCCAGCAGCCCCGGTGGCGTGCAGGACGGCCTCTCTGACCGCCTCCTCGCTGCGGCGCTGCTCCAGCTGCAGGCTGATGTTCTGCAGGATGCTGAGCTCCAGGGCGGCCAGTGACGCCTGCACGTCGGCCCCGCTGACGTACTGCTGCGACAGCCACTGCAGGAGCGAGTCCGGGAGGCCGCCACCGTCTCCCGAGGCCCCGCCCCTCACCGTCAGCTGGTTGCCGTAGACCAGAGTCCGAACCTCCTCGCGGACCTGAGCGGAGACCTGCTCTGAAATCTGATTGGTTGACAGCAGCAGGATACAAAAAGAGACCGTTACTAATCGCTGCCCTGTGGAGGTACTCCTCCTTTACGTCCACGTCTGTCAGAATATAAATAAATAAATAAATAAATAAATAAAGACATTGAATTTTACAGGCGAAGAAAATAAACGGCCACTAAAACGCCAGCTGTGCCCAAAACAAACGCGTATTAACATTTAGATAGATAGATACTTTATTTCCCGAGGGAAATTCAAGTATTTCGCTGCTTCACATTAAAAGTTTCTACTGGTGAAGCAACAGGAAGCTTTTATTTTGAAACTGTAAAAACTCACCGTCTGCTGGATTTTGTCGAGTCGTCTGCAGCCGTCCCAACACCCAGACAGACCCTCAACATCCTGCCTGACGTCCTCCAGAGCCGCCTCCAACCGCGCAACCTCCGCGAGCAAGGCATCATGGGACTGACGGTCAACACCAACACTAGAGGAAGTTACAGGACAAGTCAAGGTAAAGTGTTCACACCTGTAGTCCAGGTCACTTAGAGTGGACTAAAGGTTAGGATTCCTTCAGTGTTCATGGTTCAGGAGGTTTCTCCCGGGGTAAACTGAGTGAAGAGGAGGATGAAGGTTACCTGACAGCAGCTGGAACTGTGGATGAAGGTGAGGCTGTTGCAGCAGCTTCTTGTCTCCACTGCACCGCCTGTAGAACAATGAACCAGACTGAAACCAACCAGGACTGGAGCCTGTGTGAGTGAGCTTAAAGCGTTCTCTGTACCTGGGTTCTGGCAGCCAGTGCCTGCAGCTGCAGCTCCAGGTGATCCAGACGGGACGTTTGACTCTGCTGCTGCGACAAATCCTGCTGCCGAGTCTACAAACACACCAACAGGACGGAAACAAGACTCCCATCATGCTCAGAGATCCATGTCCTCGTCCATACAGCAGACTGGTAGTTCTCAACCTTGTTCCCTCCAGGAAGCTCTTTTCTATCACTGAGTGAACTGACAGGAAGTTATATACTAGATACTGTACCACGTATGTACTGGAACCTATGGAGCCCAGCATAGGCTTAAACTAAGCCAACACGGACGTCACAAACTTAAGTTCCTCTAAAACTTAAGTTAGCCAATATTAGCAAGACACTAGCTCCCTACCCATCAATTGTTAACTGCTTTTCAACATGTATAGTACATTTTTGGTTTTCCTTACAGTTAGTAGCAAATTTCATAGTTTTTCAGACATTAGTAAATTATCCAGTAATTCTCGAGTAAAAGGGCAAATATTAGCAAAATAATCCAGTTTATGATCTTATAACCCCTCAGATATATTCTTTGACTTCATCAGGAGGTCCCGACCGATGTGTTCAGTATCTGACCTGTTCCCTCTGCTGCCTCTCCTCGTCCAGTCGTGTCCTGAGCTGGTTCAGCTGCTGGTTCAGCTGCTGGTCCAGCAGGCCGCTCAGCCAGGGTTCCTCAGCGCCGCTGTGAACAGAGACCAGCTGCTGCTGCTGGATGAGGTCAGTGTACAGCCGGAGCACCTCCCTGTGTCTCTGCTCCTCCCGCCGCCCGCCGGCCTCCACCTGCTCCCACAGCGCCGCCAGACTCTGCTCCAGACGAACGAGCCGCGACGACTCCTCCACCGCGGCTGACGGCAGCTGGAAAGGCCACAGGCCGACGAGAGGTGAGACAGTTTAGACACGTGGAGAATCATGGACAGCTGATGACAGAAATGATCTTTTGATTCTGAATACGACTGATTATGATGATTTCAGCTGTTTTTTCCCAGAAAGTGAAAAATAAACTTTAAATCAGAAAGTAAATCCAGACCGTAAAGTCAGGGGTCAGAACCTCCTCTCCTGTCTGCGTTTCAGCCGGCGGAGGTCGACTGTAAAGCGGCTCCTCGAAGGCCTGCACCTCCCTCGACTCCTCCGCGGCGCCCTCTATTGAGCGGCTCTGGGGGGACGTGGAGCCGTAGATGGAGGACAGACCGGGGACGTCGGAGACCACCGTCCTCCACTCTGTGATGTTGACAGCTGGAAGGACGGACTGTAGACCAGCTGGACCAAACCAACACAGGCCTGAAACATCAACAGCAGTTGTGTTAGACTGCAGCCACACCTGAACCTGAGCATTGTTTATTGTTTATTACTTTTAAGACCTGGAACCTACTGAGGAGGAGGAGCAGCAGAGGGAGGACAACCAGGAGGAGTCTGAGAGCAAAGCTGCAGGACCAAGAACAACATGTCTCATTAATAAAAGAACAGCTTCATCCACAGACTGACTTTCAGACGCCGAGCAGAATAAATCACCTGAAGCTTCTTGTTGCACCCACCTGTCACTCAAAGCAGCCACGCCCTTAATTCTGTATAACTTTAATCCTTAACATCATTTAAAGGGGTGAGTTGAACAGCTGGTATAAACAGGGAGATGATCTCTAGTTTATTTCTGCAGTTCAATATGGAGCGCTGAACTCACTGCTGGAGGTGGACGTTAGAGGAACTCACAACTGCTTTTAAACTCAACACAAGTAGATTTTCCATTTCCCTTGCAGTTAGCACCAAATTTCATAGTTTTTAGGAAATTATTAGTAAATTTCAATTGTATTAAAGAAGCAAAAAGCAGAAATTAGCAAGAAAGGGAGAGAAAAAAATAAATTCAATCCATCCAGTTCTAACCAGTGATCGTTGGTTTCCACCAAAATAAACAAAAAAAGAAAAACCAAACTTGCCGAGTCGGGAGGAAGTTGGATGTGATGTGATGCCGTCGTCTGTTGAGCCACCTGTACACATCACCTGCTGCCTTACCTACACACACACACACACACACACACACACACACACACACACACACACACACACACTAAATTATATTTAAGCGTAATCAGATGATTAATGAAGCCTTTCACCAGCTGAGCAGGAAGCTGCAGGTCAGCCAAGCAAGAGGCACATTATATGATTATTACTGCACACACATACACCACAATAACAACAACAACAACAACAACAACAACAAAGGATGAGTTGCTGGTTCCTTGTCACGTAGTATTTATTCTTTGGTTTCTTTAAGGGTGTAGAAATTGGGTATCTGTGTTTTGAGTTTTATAATGAAGCTTTATTTAGGAAATCTTCCATTTTATACAATAACTGCAGCTTTAAATCAAAGCTGTTGATATTTCCAGACCTCTAGAATCCAGTTTTGAGTCCTGAGAACCTTCAACATCTGTGTATGAAATGCTGCAGAAGCAAACGATCAGAACAGACACGGGAACAATGAAGCAGCAGGGAGGAAGAAAACTGAACTCCCAAACACGTTCAGGAGCGCGCGACCAGAGCAAACTGCACATCCAGAGAGGAAGAGAGGGCGGCGGAGGGTTAACAGACACACAAATCACAGACGCGCGACGGCGCCGTTAACCTGCAGAGCGTCCGGCGCTCAGAGAAGCTAACAATTTTCTTGTCAGAGGCCAAACGGCTGAAGCCGGCACTGTGAGTGAGGCTGAAGCAGAACACGAAGCTGAAGAGCAAAAGGAAGGCGTCGACACTGAAGGAGATTTATATCAGCACACAGCACGGAGGCATCGGCGTACAAACAGATTAGTCAACCATGGAAACATCATTTACTCAAGTACTCAATTTTATACTTATACTCTGCTTCAGTTCACATATAATTTATATGAAAATATAATATTATTATATTAACTAATAACAAGATACAGTGCACAGATACTTTTATTTTTGGTAACTTTCATATATATTCTTAATGCTTTATGTACTTTTATTAAGTAAGAAGATCTGAGAGCTTTAAAGGATGTTATAATTAAACGGCTGCAAAATAACTCCAAAATGACCTTGTTATAAGTAAATTATTATTATTATTATTATATTATTTATGTGTCACCAATCAGTGCTGTGTGTTGGCTGCATTGAGACAATTCTGTAGGTCTCATTCAAGTAGCGTATTTTAAATTATTTTTTTTTTATTTTTTATTGGCAAATAGGATTTTTTAATTTATTTATTTATTTATCTCTCTCTGTCCGCATTAACAATGTGTATCCCCAATGGTGCGTATCACAGCCAGTAACCAACAAATAAAGTCAGTAATGATCAAAAGCTTTTATCCTAATAGCTGTTTTGTTACTGTTAAAGTTTGTTAGAAAACCTTTTTGCCCCACATATCAGAGCCCCGACGCAGCAGCAGCCAATCTCCTCAGGGAATGTGAGTTTAAAGATCTGGCGGCTGGTAGCGAACATCATTGAGAAAATGGCCGTTGATGCTGTTTTGCTGGTAGCGGTCTGTGAGGAAAAGGGTATAAAGCTGGGGCGAGGCCCCGGTTGCCAGAGCTCCAGCAGAGGTTTCTGGCGCAGAGCTCCCAGCAGAGGTTCTGGCGCAGGCTTCCAGCAGAGGTTCTGGGCCCAGAGCTCCAGCAGAGGTTCTTAGGGCACAGAGCTCGCACGCAGAGGTTCTGGGCACAAGCTCCAGCAGAAGGTTCTCGGGCCCAGAGCTCCAGCAGAGGTTCTGGCCCAGCTCCGAGAGTCTGCGCTCGCGTAACGCGAAGGTTCTGGGAAACCAGAGCTCAGCACTCGGTTCTGGCCGCAGAGCTCCAGCACTGGTTCTGGGCCCAGGAGCTCCAGGCACTGGTTGCTGGGCACAGAGCTCCAAGCACTGGTGTCTGGGCCCAAGAGCTCCCAGCAGAGGTTCTGGGCCCCAGAGCTCCAGCAGAGGTTCTGGGCCCAGAGCTCGCAGCGCTGGTTCTGGCACAGAGCTCCAGCAGAGGTGTCTGGGGACACAGGGGAGCTCCAGGCAGAGGTTCTGGGCCCGCAGAGCTCCCAAAGCACTTGTTCTGGCCCAGAGCTCCAGCAGGAGGCTTCTGGGCCCAAAGCTGCAAGCAGAGGTTCCTTTCAAGGTCTGATTTTATTTGTTTTTAAGCTGAAGCAGAGTTTGAATCTAATGTTGCTGGACGGACACAGAAACGACCCAAATTTATCTGGGAAGAATATTATTTCTGTGGTCAAAAGTGAACCTGTCAGATTGCTTTCTTTAACCTGTAGAAACAGCAGCCTCCACCATCAGCCCCAACAAACAGGAAGCCACTGAGGAGCAGGTAGAGGACCACGGAGAGTCGACGAATCGCCTGAAGCTTTGTTGTTTCTGTTACAGTCATCACCCTGTTGGTGTCAGGAGTGTTTAACTCACAGAGACAACACACAAGGCAGGAAAGGCTGGAAACAACATTATTCAGGCTTTACAGGAGAGCTGGGAGACAGGAAACACCAGCAAGTAGGATTTTTAAACGCCACTTTTGGACTTTTTGGCTTCAGGTCCGACCATGAAGAATCATCATCAGTTTTAGTTTTCAACATAATAAATCTGAATTTCCACAGAAAGTTTACTGTGTGTATGAGAACTCACAGCAGAGAATGCGTTGGGATGAATAGATCCTCCTGGTATGGTGCTGGACTCCCTCAGGTTCATGACTCCAACAGTGACTGGACTCGACTGGATTCGAGCTGGCAACAGAGAGAGAACAGGGTCAGGACTCCTCCACTAGTCCCTCCAGCCAGTCGTTCCTCGGGGCTGAGGGACCGGACCGCTGGCTGCAGGCGGGATTTGACATGTTTGCCAAGGCAACAGCCAAAGTGAAGGGGTGCGGCCCATTTGTATTGGGAGGGAAAACACCGGCAGGCGAGCAGAAGAGTTCAGGAAGACCAGGACAAGCATTCCAGATCCTGGATCATGGGAAGCTGTGTGACAGAACAGTTAAGCAGAACGTCAACAGAGAGCCACGACCTCCCAGATAAGGTCTCCACATCAGATCTCAGATGGGTCTAGCTGGTTCTAGCTGTTCTAGCTGGTTCTAGCTGGTTCTAGGCTTGGTTCTAGCTGGTTATCTAGCAGAGTTTTTCCACCACTTTAGTTCTGGTTCTAACAGGTTGCTTTCAAAATGCCTGGAACCCCGGTGCTATCCTATCAAACTAGGTGCCTGAACCAGAACTGAGCAGGTTTCCCTGATGGGTGGATAAGGGACTCTAAGGGGGAGGTTTAGAAGGTTCCTTAGGTAGTTATATAAGTGTTGCTTTATGAGGTTCTAGTGGTCGCTGCCAGAAGTTCTAAAGGTTTTTAGGGTAGTTCTGGTTGGTTGTTGCAGCAGTGTTTTAACATTCTGCTCTCTGAACCATTGTAATCAAGAAGATCGGACCTCGATCCTGAAGGTCACCAGTGGGAACAAGGCTTTACTACGTTTCCTTCTGGTTGTGAATCTGAAACAGAGGAGGAGTTGAGGAAGGTGTTTAACAGACATGTGAGTAACGGACGTCCAGGGTGGAAGAAGAGTCTCTGTAAAACATGCACTTGCTAGTGGGTCCCAACAGAACAGACTTCCATGCGGTTAGATACACTGGTTCTGTTAACTGCATGCGTCTGACACCGAAAGTGGGAGGAATAAAGGTGGACAGGTAGCGGTCCATAACCTCCTGTCTGTTTTCAGTCTGTGTCATCAGCCCCCGACACAGCCTGCCAGGTGGTGTGTCCAGCGCAGACGCACAGCAGGGCTGCAGGCTCTCCTGACACCACAGCAAACAGCTGCACGCCCACCACAGCTGCGCACATCTGGAAGGTTCAACCAGCAGGCTCAACAGCAGGGCTCAACAGGGCAGGCTCAACAGCAGGCCTCCAACAGCAGGTTCAAGCAGCAGCTCAACAGGCAGTCTCAACAGCAGGTTCAACAGCAGGCTGCAACAGCAGGCTCAACAGCAGGTTCAACCAGGCAAGGTTAACAGCGGGCTCAACAGCAGGTTCAACAGGCAGGCTCAACAGCAAATGTTGCAAGCGAGCAGGCTCAACAGCAGGCTCAACAGCAGGCTTCAACAGGCCAGGTTCAACAGCGGCTCAACAGCAGGCTCCAACAGCAGGTTGCAACAGCAGGCTCAACAGCAGGCTCCCAACAGGCAGGCTCAACAGCTAGGTTCAACCAGCAGGCTTCAGGTCGCTTCTCCGTACAGCCACATTACTGTAGGCAAATGTTGTTGCAGCCGTAGCGATTAACAATCAATAAAGCTGTGTACTGAGAGACGCTCGGACAGAAATAACATGTCTCATACGCATCCAGCTGTACAGCTCTACAACTCTACAGTCTACAACTCTCTACAACTCTACAAGCTCCTACAACTCTAACTCTACAATCTTGGACAACTCTACACAATCCACAACTCCTACAGCTCTCAACTACAAGCTCACCACTCTACGGCTGCTAACAACTCTACAGGCTCCTACAACTCTAACAGTCTAACTCTAAGCACACTCTACAGCTCTACAACTCTACAGGTCTAACAACTCTACAGTCTAGCGCTGACAGCTCTAGCAACTCCTCACCCAACTCTACAATCTACAACTCTACAACTCTACAAACTCTAGCAGCTCTACAACTTCTAACAGCTCTAACAACTCTACAGCTCTACCACCAATCACAACTCTAACAGCTCTACAGCTATACAACTCTACAGGCTCTTACAACTCTAGCAGCTCTACAGCTCTACAGCTTCTACACAATCACAACTCTACAGCTCTACAACTCTACGGCTCTAGCAACTCTACAACTCCTACAGCTCTAGCAGCTTCTACTTACTCTACAACTCTACAACTCTACAACTCTACAACTCTACAAACTCTACACAATCACAACTCATACAGCTCTACACAATCACAACTCTACAGCTTCTACAGCTCTACAACTCTACAGCTCTACAACTCTACAGCTCTACAACTCTACAGCTCTACAGCTCTACAACTTACAGCTCTACAGCTCTACAGCTCTTACAGCTGCTAAGCTCTACAACTCTACAGCTCTACAGCTTACACAATCACAAACTCTACAACTCTACAGCTCTACAACTCTACAACTCTAAGCTCTACAACTCTACAGCTCTACAACTCTACAAGCTCTACAGCTCTACAATCTTCTCTT